AAGGAGAGGTGATCGATATCACTTCTTTCTGTATGCATATATGTTCATGACGATCTTCTGTTTCCTTCGTTTGCTTACTAGCTAGCTAGCGTGTCTAGTCCTCTCTATACGTATGTATAGTACGTAGCGTCGACCAAGCACGGACATAAGAGAGGACACTTCTCTCTATTAATTATAGCTAGCTAACACAATATATGAAACACCTAAATTAACCCCCAACACCCCCCCCCCTCTTAAAAAAAAATCAAAAACCCCAGCCACAGAAATGCTGACGTGTGGATGCCTATTGGTCCCGGTTGGTGCCACCAACCGGGACCAAAGGGTCTCCTGCCTGGGCTCCGCGCACAGGCCACGTGGAGGCCCATCAGTCCCGGTTCTGGATTGAACCGGGACTAAAGGGGCAGGGCATTAGTACCGACCCTTTAGTCCCGGTTCAGGAACCGGGACAACAGGCCCTTTTTCTACCAGTGCTTACAGTGTTATGGATTGACAACACTAGCTCTCAATTACAGGCTTGATTTGAGTACAAGAATGGGAAGGAACTAGGGTTCGGAGGAAAAGGGGAAAGTGGTAGCCGTCGTCGTCGCCGTGATCCACTGGATGGTTCTGCCTCTGAAGGCTGGGGCTTAAGTAGTCGCCGCGTGGGCCTGGACCGCTGTCACCAACTCCAGGCCCAACACTCGCTTGTTGGCCACGCATGCACGTTTGGGCCGTGCACCGTGGGCTGGGTCATCTTCAGGGACGCTGACATCCAGACCCTCCAAAGTCCAAACAAGCCGAGAGTTCTGCTCGTAGAGGCCCAGCGAGAGTTCATGCACGCCGAGAAGATGATGGAGCCTTTTCCGTCCCTGAGGGCCATACCTGCACCTGCTTCACCTGACTCCTGACAGAAGGACCCATCAACATCGAGCTTATCATTACAGGAGAAGCCTTCTGCCGGTTAGGACTAAGAGCAACATAAAGGACTCATTGATTTTTCTTTGTTCCTTCTTGATTTGATTGATGATGACATTCGGTCGGTGCTGCCATGAGTGCCATCGCCATGACTCTCCAGTCAAACATTCGCACTGCTACACTACACGTGTATGTATACTCGCATGTGTGTGCGCGTGATGAAGACACGCTAATGAAGACATGATCCAACAAAGCTACCCTCCAAAGCGATGGATCCATTGAACCGATGGATGAGCGCTAAGTCAAGGTCTCGTCACATCAAATCACTCCGATGAGTGCTAAGTCAGTCAAGGTCTTCGTTATAGTACTAATCACTTCAAGCATCGATCGGTCCTTCCTGGTTTGTTCCTTTGCCACCTTGGCCCATTTCTCTCTTTCTTCGCCTCGAGCCTTTGTAACAAGTTTTGTTTCTTTATATTATCCAGAACCTTGACGGCCTACTTGATCATACTCCCTCGGTCCGGAAATACTTGTCCTCGAAATGATTCGAGGACAAGTATTTCCGGACGGAGGGAGTATCAACCAGTTCCGCCGGCGGCGGGGGTTCTCATCTTGATGCGCAGAGGTGACGGTGCGGGCCGAGGCGGCCTGGGCCTGGAAGCGGCGCTGCTGCGCGGCGGCATGTTGGAGCCGGTGGGCACCGACGTTGTAGTGTGACGGACGACGTGGCGGCGGGTCACGCTCGGGGGCAATGACGGCTGATGTGGCGGTGTGGACACTGCTTCCTCAAGCGGCACGCTGCGGCGGTTCACCTCTGTCATGTCCCTTGTCTGGTGGTGGTAGAGGTGCAACAGAGGAGGGCCAAGGATTAGGAGGGAGGGGGGGGTGGCGGCTAAGGGTGTCCTCCTCTGTTGTGGAGCTCAGCTTGTTTTGGTGGAGGCACATCAGTAGAGGTCGAGTTCTCCCTCCTCTTTGGCGGCGGTTGTGTGACAGGTGACACGCGTCTTTGTTGTTTGGTTGTATGTCGTCACGGAGGCATTGTGGGGGTGAAAACCCTTTTTGGTCATGTCAGGCCAACGATGGCGGCGTCTATGAGCGTTGTCTCCTTCAAGAAGACGCTGTCGTGATTCTTCGATGTCCTCCGTGTTGCTCCAGGGGAAACCTGGATCCCTGGATTGGACGGTGGCGATGCTCCGGTGTCGTCCCCTTCCTGGATGCGCGGTCTTGGAATACACGGTCAGTCGTATGCAACTTCATCTCTTTGCGGTGACTCGCTTACGCTTGATAGCTCTAGAGACTTTTAAGTCATGCCCTTTTCTTTCTACCTGCTGTTTTGCTTGAAATAATAAGTGGTAGTGTAGTTGTTCTTCAACACCCTTGTATCTTATTTTTGAGTGCATGTGTTGTGGTGTTGAGTTGTACTTGTGGAGTTGTATAGTGGTCGATGCTTTAACTTCATATCTTGAAATTATAGAGCTCCACACGTGTGGAGTACGTATGGAATTGTATAGTGGCCGATGATTTATCTATAAAGCGGGCCACAAACCTTTTTCAGTATCATATCAATGTCATGGAATAACAGAAAAACACTGTGATCAAACGGTTGGCGGTTGGCGATGATCGCGGCTTTAGGACGCTAGTCCTTAAAGCACGTGCATGAGGACGACAAAAAATAATTCTTTTCTACGGCCTATTCCTCCTCGGCAATCGCCGTTTCACCTTTATCCATCATATTGCCGCAAGAAGACAAAGCGACATCTTTCTTCCCGTCCCTCCTTTCTTCTTCCGCCTTCATTCTCGTCGACCGCCACCATGTTTTTTAGCGCTCTTTTTCAAAGTCTACATATTTATATATGTTCCTACTCAAAACCATTCGTTCGATATCCTTTTTTTGGGGTTATTTGTATAGCTACCTTAATATTTGGAAGTGGTAACTCAATGCTAGAGTGCACTAGTAGCTAGCAGAAGTAATAGGGAGTCCACTCAATTAAGTTTGCCAACGAAATCAATCGGGTGGAAAGTGTGGGAATGTGTCCCCACAAATCCGGCAGCAC